TATTTAATTTAATCTCCCTGAAGAGTTGCCACCCACTGGGTAGAAAGAAGGAAAAATCAAATAAATGTCCACTCTGGTTTAAACAGTAGTCCAAACCAAGAGCTTAAAGTAGTCCTTTTAGGTAGTGCTCAGTTCCTCCAGGAAAGGTGCTCAGTGTCAAAGATTTCCCAGTCTTCTGTCCCCTCCCTGGCTCCTTTCCAGTATGGTGTGCCAGTGTATGGGGTGGGGACCAGGTGTTTGGGAACCTGCTGCCCCAGCCTTGCTTGGCAAAGCCTGGAGAGGGCAAAGAGAGAAGGAAATCCCCAGGAAATCATCTCATCCTGTCTCTGTGCCCCTTCCCCTGTCCTTTGGGCCCCTGTGTCATTTCCTCCTTTACAACAGAGCAGCGAGTCTCAGGGAGTGGACGTCCCACGCAGAAGGTAGATCTACTCCACGTAAAGCCTCTCTGTGCTGGTACACCCGGCTTAGCCCCTGAATCTTAAATGGGGACTAAAGTAAAGGAGTTTCGCACAGTCTCTCTTTTTCTCTCCAAAGTTTTGTTTCCAAGCTTTTTTTTCCGGTTTGCTCAAGAGAGCCCAAGTGCCCACCCCATCCTCTCGAGGTGAGCGGTTGTAACGAAGTGCGGCACCCGGGAAAATGAAAGTGCACCCGTCCCGTGTCTACGATTTGTTGTCCTTGCACAGGTCTGGAGAGAAATGCCCTGTTCACGTACCCGTGGGCCCACCGTCCCCTTCACTGATGTTCCTCCACCCTTGCATTTGTGTGTTTGCTCACTCACACTCATCATTCATCCACCCGCTCGTGGATGGACTCCTCTTTGTATTTGTTCTTTTCATTCATTGAAGTAGTGAAAAACCCTTCCTTCACACTGACCATAGGCCAAGCATCAACTCGGTCAGGGGATTCCGAGGTGACTAAGAAGCTCGGAGTCGAGTACAAGTCAGGAACAAATCAAAGGCCAGCACTGTGTGCACCCCCACCTCTGAGAGAGAAACGATTTGCACAATTTTATTTAGTGGAAACCCGTGCACTCTCAGGGCTCACCATGTAAAGCTAATGCAGTGATGCATTTTATGAAGAGAGGGTGGTGTCTCACTGCCATGTTAACTTCTACTCTCTTGACTTTTGGAGCGGGTGAGATACGGACACACTTTTCAAGCTTGAAGGTCCTTTGTCTTCAGAGATGCTGGTGTTGGCATCACAGGGCTGACCCCGAGGTTCCTGGGCCCCTGGGTCCTATACAGCAGTTTAGACACTGAATGCGCCCAGCTGAAGTCCACTGCACGTGCCGACCCTCGCGGGTGGGAACGGGGGTCGGTGTAGTTTACATTCTCCAGCCCCTTGTGATCGCACATCACCACCCAGCTTCAGGACGGCTGGTCCAGTGGCCTGATATAATAAAAAGAAGGCAGGTTTTGGAATCGTCAGGCTGGGGTTTAAGGAAATTCTGCTGCTTCCAAATTGTGTGGCCTTGGGCAAGTTAGCCAAATGCTCTGAGCCCAGGTTTCCTCACCTGTGAAATGGCCTAATAATTACAGCAGCGGCAGCAGCAAATGCTTGAGTCAGCTGTAAGGTTAATTGAATCCATGGATGAGAAAGGGCTTTGAAAAATCCAAAGT